GTTCAAGTTTTTTTTCCTAACTGCTGTGTGACCATAGAAAAATCACCTAACCGCCTTCAGCCTCAATTTCCTCATCTAAAAAATGGAAATAATAATACTTGAGGTACCTACCATAGAATTATTGTGAGATCTTAAAAGGGATAAAGTTTGTAAGGAGCTCTATAAACTTTAAAGCCACTTAATGCATTAGTCAATAAACATTTATTAAGTGCCTACTATGTGTCAGGTACTTTGCTAAGCACTGGGAATACAAAGAAAGAAAAAAGACATTGCTCCAAAAGCTCACAGTCTAATGGGGGATGCAATATACAAACAACAATGCATACACAAGATAAATAGAGGATAAATTGGAGATAATCAACAGAGGAAAGGCAATAGCTTTAAAGGGAATAGGGAAAGATCTCTTTCAGAAGGTGGGATTTTAGCTGAGACTTGAAGGAAGCCAGGGAATCCAGGAGGCATAAAGGAGAGCGAGAGAGTTCCAGGCATGAGGGACAGCCAGCAAAAATGGAGAGCTGGGAGGTGGAGTGTCTTGTGGGAGGAACAGCAGGGAGCCTAATCATTATTTTTGTTGTTCAGTCATTTCAGCTATGTCCAACTCTTTGCATCCCCGTTTGGGGTTTTCTTGGCAAAGATAGTGAAGTGTTTTGCAGATGAGGAAACCAAGGCAAACAGGATTAAGTGACTTGCCCAGAATCACACAGCTAATCACACATCTAGGGCCAAATTGGAACTCAGGTCTTCCTGACTCTAGGCCCAGTGCTTCATCCACTATGCCACCTAGCTGCCCACGTGTATATGCATGTGCATGTATGTGCATTCCCTTAATGTCTATAAAAGTTGGGTTTTCTGTTTCTTTGGGGGGGTTTTGTTTTGTTTTGTTTTGTTTTTTAACCTGCTTTAAGAGGATAACTGTCTAGTTTACTTGTTGAGAATCAATCTTAGGGAAAAAGATTTAGTCATTTCATTTGTTTTTGTTTCTTCTGATACCTATTCATCCATTGCTGCTGGTCCTCCCCACCACCTAGGGTGCCCAATAGCTTTTCTTTTAACTAAATACGTGGCTATTTACAGTGACCTAGTTCCAAAGTCTAACACGACCATTCCTTTGCTGTCCCTGTGCCACTGATTAACCACCAGCTTTGACAGCAGCATACACAGCTGCATGTGACTATCAGCTCTGTTTAATGTCCCTGGTTGATGGCAGTATCATTGCCATGACAGGGACATGTCAGCAGTGGATGATTTCCACTGAACAATGACTCCTGGCTACTGGCTCTATAAGCACAGCTAAGAGGAGAGGGGTGAACAAAACGCCCAGTGAGTCTGATCCATGCCAACAGCCAATCAGAAAAATTCAGGTCGAAACCACCTTCCTTTTCCTCAGTAGCAGAGTCTGGGTCTAGAATCTTCTAAGCCATTGTCTTAACTGGTCATTCCCCTTGGCCTGTATAAATGCTAGCCATGTGTTTCCTGGAAAAGTGAGGGAGCTTTAACTCAAACTTCTGTTAGTTTGGTGCTCAGGTTTCCATCTTCCCAAAAGCCCTTGTGCCCCAAATATAAAAATGTAAAAACAATCATTTGTACCTAAAGCCCAGCTGTCTGGAAACCCAGCCTGCATATGGCACACTTTTCTAAGCTACTCAGAGAAATGAAACTATCATCTCAGTCAAAGGGTGGTTTGCCTAATTGGATTTTTTTATAATGAACCACAAAGCATATTCTAACATTGACATTGTATGAGTGACATCAATATCAAAACCAGATCACATACCTCAAAAATAAGATTTATGTTTTATGTTTATTTCTTGTAACTATCTACCCTAAGTATGATAATAATAACAACAATAACCATCATTTATGTATTGTCAGACACTATGCTAAGTGCTTTACAATTATTGTATCTTTTGATATAATAATAGATTACATAAGATTAATAGATCAGAATAATTAATCCAAATAACAGATTAAATATCAGCAGCATCTGCTATGCCTCTGCCTGTAAGACTCTTCTCTCCAAAGCCTTCTTCCCCTCTTCCACATCACCCCCCAACCTTGTAAACCAGTGACTTCTTCACCTGTGACAAAGGCACTTCTTGTTGTCTAGTATTTATGAGCCATCCTTGGACTGGGTGTTGCAAAGAACTTCTGGGAGCATAAATAAACAAGGCAGGATTTGCTGAGATGCTGACCAAATCCCTTTTACTCCATAGGGAGAAAACTGTGTTCTGTTGCCTGATTCCATAAAGAGAAGCTCTGTCATTAACTGGCTGTGTGACCTTGTATAAGTCTTTTCACCTCTCTAGGACACAGTGTCCACATCTGTAAAATAAACTGGTTAGACTATTGAAATTGATTGATAGTCTCTGAGAGCCCTTCCAGCTCAAACATTCTAAAATTCTATGATTCTATCTTATAGTGTGCTACCATAAAAGGTAAAATCAATAATTACATTTGTATATTGACTCTAACATTTCTGGAAAACTCTGCCTTAGGGATTTGGAGGAGGGTGTGTTAAGATGAATGTCGTTGCTAATTGGAAAATCCTCCTGTTTTCATGAATGATCTTCTCCATTTGCTCCTTATTGCTCATAAATCTGAAAAGTTGTCTTGAACTTCAATGCTGCAAAATGCAGGGATTAGATGAGAGAAGGAGTGTAGCTATAACAGATGAATACCATTAGAGCTTCATTTGCTGTCCCCACTTTCATTGTGTGAATGTTTACAGTCTGTTAGCTGAGAGTATCCATCTCACTCTGACCCCAACCTTTGAATAATATTTATTGTATTATCCCAAAATCCACTGAGAAATGGTGATAGCTATAAATCCATTTATTAGATGCTAAACTCTGCTTTACTTTGCAAGATTTGTCCCAAATCCACTCAGACAAATCAGCCTTAACAAGGTCATTGCAGACTTAGCAGAAATTCTGGCTGTCTTAAGGTGGTATACATATAGGAAGGGAGGGGATAGGGATCTGAAGGAGGAATGGTGTAGAAGAGGTGGGAGGGACATTTCACCAAGGCTGTGAAGAAGGAATAATAAAATTTCCAAGGGGACCTTGGAACTCTTTGTCATGGAGAAGACATCAATGCTTAAGGAGGTCTCTGTACTCTATACACCACACCCCAAAATACCCTGGACCTTTTCTCTTCTCTTGATGGCTCTAATTCACCCCCCCATATCCAACTGGTCACCAAATGTGTGGGTTCTTGCTCCCCAGTATCGTTCAGATTCAACCTTCCTATGACAATTCCATAGCCACCACCTAAGACAGAGCATTTCTCACCCTATGTCTGGCATTACTCTGATAGCCTCCACACTGGTCTTTCCACTTCCAGTTTTTCCTCCTCCAAACTATTATATATGGATAGTGTATGCATATGCACGTGTGTGTGTACAGATATAGATATATCAAAATGGTTGTGAGGCAAGATTGGAAGTAGAAAAAGCAGTTTGGAGGTCTTCATGTCATGTATGGGATAATTCAGCCTCTAAACTGTCCTTCCACCTCTGGTTTTTCCTGCCTCAATATGTATGTGTCTTATATGTGTGCATCTTTCCATACACACACATACATACACACATGCACACACACATCCATATATGCATCCATATATCTATATATGGATGTATATATGGATGTGTGTGTACACATATATGATGGATTGCAGGAGGAGAAATTAGAAGTAGAAAAAAGTTTGGAGACTGTTATGTAGATAAATACATTTTGTTGTTATTTAGCCATTTTAGTCATGCCAGACTCTTCATGACCCCATTTGGGATTTGGCAAATATACTGGAGTTGCCTCAGAAACTGAGGCAAACAGGGTTGAGTGACTTGCCCAGGGTCACACAGCTAGTAAATATCTGAGGCCAGATTTGAACTTAGGAAGTGTCTTCCTGACTCCAGACCTGGCACCTTCCACTGTGTCACCTAGCTGTCCAGATACATACATGCATGTATACATATGTACCTATATACATACATATATAGATTATATGTTATATGTATGTAATACATATTTAAATATATGTTATTGCACATCATGGCCATCTTTTTTGGTTTCCTTTAAAAAGTTTTTTATTGTTTATCAGATAAAACCTAAATTTCTCAGTCTATCATTCAAGACCCTCCATTAATTGGCTTCCTCCCATCTTTCCAGTCTTATGGTCCCTTGCCATATCTCCAGTCTATCCACATTGACATAATTTATTACTCTCCCAGTGGTTGCCACCCATTCCCATTTTGTACCTCTTACTCCAACTCTGCCCTGTCTTTGGAATACTTCTGCAACATCCTCTTCTCTGTTGTAGCCTTCAAACTAGGCTCCAAATCCCCCTCTTCAGGAAGGCTTCTCTCAGTGACATCACTCCTGTTAATCATTCCCTGGCAGTGGATGCCATAGTTTCCACATGGATCTAGGAGATGACCTTGTAGTAGAGTGGAGAGATGAAGAATCAGAAAACTTCAGTGCCACTCATTGTGTGTTCTTGAGGAAGTCACTTAACTTTTCTGAGATTCAGTTTTCTCATCTGTAAAACTGGAATAATAATATCCCCCCCCAACTCATAGGGTTGTCCACAAGAAATGAATATTGCAATGTATATAAATTGTTCTATAGATTTAGGCTATTATTATGAACACGGTTTGTACTACAGTAACTTGTACTTATGCTTCCTAGGTGTTTCAGGAGTAAGCCATATCTGCTAGTATACTTTTCTAGATATTTGGTTCTGAAATGTTTGGAGAAGAGGGGGGAGAGTGGAGAGAAGAAAGGGAGGGAAGTCATTCAAGAATGTAGGTCTTGGCCCACGATTACCTTCAACAATGTGCATTAATCTTTGAGAGTGTTCTCTTCCTTCATTAAAGAGCAATGACAAAGTTAATCAGTGACAAAGTTAATTAGATTGTAGAGCTCCTAAAATTTCTCCCTTCCTTCAGCAAATTCCTGCTGTTCTTTTAAACTACAGTTTGGGTGGAGGGAGATGAATAAAAAGCAAGGGTTACTTTAAAAACCAAACGAAGAGGCTTCCTCACTGTGGGCTCACTTCTGAGAAAATTGCAGGGAGAAGGACATGATCAGCTAGCGATTGAAAGATGATGTTTACATTGGGGATTTGTGGTCCTTTGGTCCAGGCTCGAAGGCAGCACACAGCTGCTGCATCCCCAGCTCTTTGCTGATGTCTCCCCCCAAAAGGCAAGCGGACAAAGGAGAGACCCAAAGAACTCAGGAAAGATAGTTCAGAGGAGGTAGGTGAGAAACAGGGCTGTAGAAGGAAAGAGACTGGAGAAACATGGAGGGAGGTGGAGGAATGAGTATTCCCACCTCCCTTCCCTTCTCCTCAGAGATGATAAATAGAAGAAGGCTGCTTTAATTTAACCATTTTTTTCCCTGATCCGACTAAAACAAAGGCTTGGTTGCTTCTAAGGAAGAGGGAAATGGTGCAGGTGTGGGAGGAGGGGTCAGACGGTTCGTGGGAGAAAAGGCTCTCTAAAGAGAAAGCAGCTTTCTTGATTCCCTCAGAACATCTATTTGGGAAGAGGATGTGTGCGTGTTGGGGGAGGGGTCAGAATTAGTGGATAAATAATCATAACAGAAACCTTAAAGGTAGGGACTCTTTTTTATAATAATAGCTTGCATGTTACATAGCATTTTCAGGTTTGAAAAGCACTTATAGATATTATATCATTTTATCCTCACAACTTTCATTTTACAAATGAGGAAACAGAGGCAGTCAGAGTTTAAGTGACTTGCTTAGGGTCACACAGCTGAGGCTGTCTTTGAACCTAATTCTTTCCTACTCCGAGCCGGTGTTCTATCCACAGTGAGTGTATGGGTGGTAGGGGAGGTGGTAGAAGAGGTTCAAGATTTGGAACATTGCATATAATGTTAGATTTGTTTTTCAATGATTGGCAATGATTGTTTTTGCTAAATGTTTTTTCTTCTTCATTTTCTTTTCTTTTTTTAGTTGCTAATTCATTCATTTTTTATTACAAAATTATTTGACTTTCTGGAAGGGAAAGGGGAGGATACAGGAGAAATTCAAGTCAATGTAAAAAAAGATATCAAAAATCTATTTTTAAGAAACAAAGCAAATTTTTAAAAATAAACATTGTATTTCCACACCTGGCTCAGTATCCACAATGAAGGCATTTAATAGACATTTGTCTTTTTAACTGCACTTTGCAATGCCCATAGTGTCTAGCACAGTGTTAGGCACAAAGTTAGCTCATATGAATGCTTACTATACAAGTGAAAATCAAGAATACTGAATTTGTAATCAGAAGACTTGGGATCAGATCTTGATCTACTGCTTATTATCTGTGTGACCATAAACAAGTCACAACCTCTCTGGGCCTCATGAGTAAAATTAGAATTGGCCTAGATAACTTGATTGATGACCACCCCCCCAAAAATGCTTCCTATCCTTAAAATGGTACCATTTTAAGATTTAGATGAAAAAGCAGCAAAGCAAATGGCAATACAAAGAATATTTATGTACAACCTTCATTTGTTAATTAGGTTCTGGAACTTATGTCTTTGTTAATAACTGGTAACAAGAAAGATAGACTATTAGAGAAGCACTGGACTTGCTTGTTCAAATCCAGCCTCAGATACTTACTGGCTGTGTGACATCAGTCAAGTCACTTAATCTCTGCTTGCCTGAGTTTTTTTCATCTGTAAAATGGGAATAATAACAGCATCTACTTCCTGGAGTTGTTGTGAGGGACAAATGAGATAATATTTACAAAGCACTTAGCACAGTGCCTAGCACATAATACTATGTAAATGTTATTGTTATTAATTTCAAGTGATAACCTAGCCTGTCTTTATGTCACAGGTTTCAATAAATCTTATGTGTTTTGAACTTTAAGAAAAAATAGATCTATGATCCTCTCAATTCTTCAAAGAGATACATGGGGAAAACATCCTATGTATAGACTAGAAAACAATATTACATACATATATATACATACATATATATGTATATGTATATATATATATGTATATGTATATATATATGCACACACACACTCAAAATTGTGTAACTAAGAATTTATATACTTAAAGTAAAGGAGCACAGAAAAATCATCTGAGCAAGCATGAGGTCACTGTCATTTATTCACCCTCTTTTAGCCATTACTAAGTGCTCTGCCCTGGGCAGGAAACAGGAATTTAGACCAGAGAGAACAAAGTTCAAGGACTAGACCCACGGTGATAGCCAAAGAATTTGAACCTCGTAATGGCCCATTCAATCTGAGATTTCAGAGGAGTCATCAAACCTTTGGTCTAGTGTTATAGAATATGGAATATACCTTCAATAGTAAAGGACATTTATGAAGGGCCTTCAATATTGTAAAACTTTGAATACGTTAGGGTATTCCATAAGTCTTAGTGTAGTTTAACACTATTTAAAGCTGTACTAAGACTTTTGGGACACCTTGTATTTTCTAGGTGAAGAAACTGAGATTTAGAGAAGTCATGTGCTACTAATAAATACATGAGAAGTGATTTGAACTCCAGTTTTCCTCCCAGCCCATTATACTATGTACTGTGCTTTGCTACCTCTAAGATTAGGTTGGGCTAATAAAATTTCCCAGGCCAATTATTTCCAGTAATATAGACTAGGAATTAGAAGAGACAAGATCATAGGATGATGGATTTAGAACTGGAAAGGACCTTTGAGGTCATGTAAACCACCACAAAACTAAGCTTTGAGCCCAGGTCCTCTGACTTCAAATCCCAGCTTCTTTCCAGTGAATTTTGCTGCCATAGGAAGGATAACTTCACCCTCTTGCTTCCAGAGATTATTAAATTCTTCTTGTCACACAGTGGGCAAGGACAAAGTTCATTCATTCAATAAACTTTTTTTTCAATCCTTCCTGTTGACAAGAAGCATTGTGCCAGGTTCTGGGGAAGCTAAATGGGTAAATAAGATGCAGCCCAGCCCCTTAAGGGGGCTTTTGATTTAATAGGGGTGATTGGATTAGAACACAAATAAATTAACACACACAAATAGATATGCTGAGTATAAAAGACCATGACATTACAATAAAGAAAGATCTTTCTCACCTTAGGAGGCAGCTAAGTGGCTCGAAGGATAGAGCACTGGGGCTAGAATCAAGAAGATCTGAGTTCAAATCAGCCTCAGACATTTAGTAACTGTATGACCTTGGGCAAGTCACTTAACCTGTTTGACCTATTATGCTAGAGAATAAAAGAGCAAACCACTCCACTATATTTGAAATGGACTGTATAGTCCATGGGGTCAGGAAGAGTTGGACATGACTGAACAACCACCACAACAAAGATCTTTCTTATCTCAGGGTTATCAAGAAAAAAGATTGGAGTTCAATCACAGTAAATGACACCACTATGATTAAATGATGAAGAGTGGGGGAAAAATGCAGTAAATGACACCATTATGATTAAGTTGTAAAGAGTCGGGGGGGGGGGGATGCAGTCAACTTAAAATAAACAACCTGTGTATGAGATGGATTTGGGGGGAGGGGGACTGAATTAACTGTTCCTATGTGGATTCACTTATACTCAGAAAGCAAATCCCTTTTTCCAGGGAAAATAAATGACACCCTTTGTTGAGTTCCACCTCTTTGGACTTCTGGCTTGTGTATCTTTGTTGGCCCCAATTCTTGGGAGTTAGAAGAACTCCCCCAACACTGACTGTGCATGCATGCCAAGGCCTCCAAGCAATTATTAGTCTGTGTTCAAGTGACTGAAAATGTCAGGCCTCTTCACAATGGGCCCACGGTGAGTCTGTAGGTTGTGTTCCATTTTCCAAAGACAAGCCTTGAATGAAATGACAAAGAGGGATAAGCTAAGAAGCACTTTGAATAATGAAAGCCATAGTTACAGTTAGCTGAGAGAACAATGAGCCCTGATCAACAAAAACTGAGGTGGGATGTTAAGGGGGGGGGCAGAGAGTGGAGAGGAGGAGGAGGGCCTCCCAAAATAGCCTTTGCTTCTTGCAATGAAACTATTGAGTTTTCATTGCAATTATGAAATCTTGGCAAGAAGTTCAATAGTCAGTGATCTCCCTCCTTGGTTGGGAGGTGACTCCTGAGCTCTGCAATTCTGGAACCTGGTTGGCAATGGAACTCTGCAGAAAAATCATACCCTGCTGCAGCAGCAAATTTCTCCTCACTCAAAGTCTTCAATTGTACACATATGGACTGATGGCAATTTCTCTCTCATCTAGTCTATTGTATATTTTTGTCATGGGCTGTGTCTTCTATTAGCTTCAGCAAAATTAAGTTGGGGATATTTAGTCCTTGGAGAGCTTGTAGGAACAGTTGCTGGGGTATTTGGGGAAAGGAGATAACAAATAGATGGGGCAGTTTGACTTCCCTTAGGAAAAGATGGGGAAAGAGAGGTAGAAAAAAATCAGCTGTAAGAGGAAAATTAAGCTTTCCCAGAGGAAACAAAAGCGGCAAAAACCTCCCCAATGTTTAATCACCATCTCTTTTTGTGGGAAATGTACAAGGCAGGTTGAAGTTACAACATGTTCTGCAGAGTGGGAAGCTTTAGAAACAGAGGGATGATTGAGAAATGTTGTTTTCTCCCCCAGCCCACTCAAATCCTTTAGCTAAACAAACAAAGATCCTGGATGAAAAGTAATGGTCCCTCTATTGCCAGGGTAGCAGGGAGTAAGTTTTAAAGGATTAAACAAAAACTCCGGGTCTCATCTTCATCCAGAACCAAATAGGTTCAAATTCAAATAAAAAGTGGGCTAAAAAGTCCTGTTTCCAGCCTTCCTGCCTGTCAGCAGCTTACATATAAGGGGATGTCAGAGGCCCTAGTGGGCAATATGTTTAAAAGGCAAAGGAGGGAAGAGAGTCCTGAAATTATTTGGAAACAATTCTCCAAGCAGAAGGATTCTGGAGTCTGCTGGTAGGCCATGGAACCCAGGGGAAATAAGGAGTTCCACCTACAGTGAAAGAAAATCACTAAAGGAAGATGACATACCAGCTATCAGGTAGGAGTGGCAAATCCAAACAAAAGATGAATTTTTTCATGGTCTTCCTGGGAGGTATGGGATCTCTACAGGTTAATGAGACTGGTAGTGCCCTGGCCACTGGCTTTGGATCTACAGGCCCTGGGTTCTAATCTTGTCTCCAGTGTGTGACTTTGGGCAAATCCCTAATCTCCACTGGGCCTCTCATCTGTAAAATAAAGTATTTCATAAGCAGTCTTCTTTTTCGATTCTTTGTATAGGGAAATGTTTCTGCTTGTCTGTTGACGTTTGTCAAGTTCATAACAAAAGGATTTAGTATTGTTGTTAGTAGCTGTAGCAGTAGTAATAGTGGTAGTAATGATAGTAGTAGTAGAGGTAGTAATAGGAGTAGTAGTAATAGTAGTAATGGTAGTAGTAGTACTAATAGTCGTAGTTAGGAAGAATGACTTGATCTCTTCTAGCTCTAAATGGACGATCTGATGAGATTTCTTCTTTTGCTTTGTTGTTAAGGCAATTGGGGTTAAGTGACTTGCCCAGGGTCACGCAGCTAGTAAGTGTCAAGTGTGTGGTCTGAGACCAGATTGGAACTCTGGTCTTCCTGACTCCAGGCTGGTGCTCTATCCACTGTGCACCTGGCCACCCCCTCCCCCCGTCATGAAATTTCTTATTCTGAATAATAGGGATGGTATTATTCAGACTCTGCTTATGTGGTAATGATTTTGAGAAATGTCACTACTCCCTCCATTTAATTGTTTTTCTCTTACCTTTCCATCACTGAAAACTGGAGTGTATGGGGTGTTCAGGGAAGACTAGCACCTCTGGCCATCTCCAGTCATCCTGATCTATGTCTCGCCACTGGACCCAGATGGCTCCGGAGGAGAAAGTGAGGCTGATGACTTTGCACAGCCCTCTCTCACTTAAATCCAATTCACTTGCAAGTCATGGCACCGCCTTCCTGATGTCATGGTCCTCTTTGAGAATGAAGGACAAACAACAGCCCCTCTTGTGTGAGGGCTTGCCGAGCCCTTTTCAGGGACGCTCATTCACTTTTGGTGTTCACCTCTCACCCGACTCTCACCTATAGCTCCAAGAAGCTGTAGCATGCCCAGTGGCCATAGTCTGGTTAGCCATTTTGGCAGACAGGCTAAACTGAGTTAAGGGTAACTGACAGGCCTGAAACCTGCCAGTGAGTTAAGGAGATGTCTACCCCAAACATGTGAAGACTCTCCCTAATACAATGGGTAGATGAAAACAATTTGCTCTAATGCTGTGAAGGTGACTGAAGCAAGTGCTGTGGAGCTCTTAGAGCTTGGTCAGGCATCAAAGACACCAATGTCATCTACTGCATCCATGGCCGTCACCAGTCATCTTGACTTTTGTCTTGTCACTGGATTTTGATGACTCTGGAAGAGAGAGTGAGGCTGAGGACTTTGTGCAACTCTAACTCATTTGAATCTAATTCATGCACAAGTCAAGACATTATTCATAATGTTATTGGTCCTTTCCAAAATGAAAGACAAATAAATACCATTAATGACTAACATTATGTGTCCCACGTTTAGGAAATTATTCCTTTAGGCTTAAGAAATTGTACTTCCAAACTCTTTTTAAAAGTGTAAACTATAAAATGAAGGTTGGGCTAGATGGTTTCAAAGGTCCCCTCCAGCCCTTGATCTATAAGCCTAAATGTTATCACAGTCTTGGAATTCATTCCCTCCTCATCTCTAGCTCTTAGACTATTTAAGTTTCCTTCCAGATGCAGCTCAGGTATTATCTCCTGAGGGAAGCCTAGTCTGATCTCATTGTGAGTGTGCCCTGCTTCTCAAATTACCTTCAATTCACTCACCTGTTTCTGGAGAATCATAGAGGTTATCTAATACAACTTCCTCATTTTACAGAAAAGAAAACTGAAGCCCAGAGAGAATGATGATTTGCCCAAAGTCAACGGGAAAGTACATTATGTGCAGTGACCAACCGTAATTCCATAGGACCCTTGATGAAACATGCCATCCACCTCCTGACAGAGATGTAATAGACTCAGTGTAGATTAAGACTTTTTCTTTACATGGCCAATGTGGGAATTTGTTTTGTTTGACTATAAATAAGGGCTTTTCTTTTCTTTCTCTTTCAAAGGGGATGGGGATAGGTGTGAGAGATAAAGCGAATAATTTGGTTCATTGAAAAAATAAAATTTAATTTTTAAAAAAGTATTGAATTGTCTAGCAAAATATCAACTCCTTGAGGGCAAGGATTGGTTCCTTTTATTATCTGTGCATCCCCAGTACTTAGCACAAAATTTTTCACATAATAGATACTTCATTAATCTTTATTGAATCAAAGGAGGAAAACATTAACTATTATAAGTCATCAAAAGTGTTACATTCTTAACTATTGTCCTCACTGAGAACTGAGATCTGAGCCATGGAGGGGAGTTAGATGGGCTAACCATGGAACCCAAAGTGTTGCCTTGAGGAAAGAGCAGTGGAAACTGTGAAAGTGTTGAAAGATGAAGCAGGGACAAGAACTGTGGGAAGGGAAATACATGGTAAGATCAACAGCTAGGTACTGAGAACTTTACCAAGCATTCTTGGGGAATACAAAGAAATTTCAGACACAATAATCCTTATTCTTGATGACCACAGAACTAATTGAGAATGTGAATTATTTACAGGAAAGAAACACACACACACACACACACACACACACACACACACACTCACACTCACATACCAAAACTAGAGAAATCTCCAATGAAAATGTACAGATCACTAAAGAAATTCAGAGGAGAGGGAAATAATTGATAGCTGGACTGCTATCAAAAAAGGTTCCCTATTGGGGCAGCTAGGTGGCACAATGGATAGAGAATTGGCCCTGGATTCAGGAGACCCTGAGTTCAAATCCAGCCTCAGACACATAACACTTACTAGCTGTGTGACTCTGGGCAAGTCACTTAACCTTACTGCCTAGCCAAAAAAAAAAATTCCTAGAAGAAATGGTTCATAAATTGGGAGTTGAACCTGTATGGGAGATTGATCAGGAAAGTTCTCTGATAAACTTGGTGGTGGTGAACATTGGATCACTGGATCACAAATCTAGAACTGAAAGGTAGCTCAGGGACCCAGCTCTTCAATTTTACATATGAGGAAATTGAGGCATGGAACAGTAAAGTGACTTGTCCCAAGTCATATAACTATTAAATGATAACCATCAGGATTTAGTTAGCCTCTGTTGGTAACTTTTCTTGTATCTTTTCAGTTGAAAATGAATTGATTGGTGAGTGAAAGCTAGCCCTTTGAATTAGGTCTATAAAAAGGTTGTTAGTCATAGAATCAGCCTTGTGTACCAGAGCCACAGAGAGGTAAAAACAGATTAGAAAGAGCAGTAGCAAGAGAACACTTGGGTCCCAGGGGCTGCTTCCCAATCCAGTGGTTGAGAGCTGATTACAGCCACCAGTCATGCAAGTTTCATGTGCTCTTTCAAGTTTTCTTCTTTAGCAACTCCAAGTTTAGAGAATTGGAGAGTATAGAGATTGAGGCTTTTGGAGAGAATAGGAGCATTCACTGGTATCACCAGCTGAGACCTAGACTTTTAGGGAGAGAAATGAACACTGTCACACTAACTTCTTGGAGAGAAAATAATTGAGCATATGGCCCCTAGGGAAGGACAGACTAAGTTAGGATCACGGGGAGTAAAACATTTGGTCAAAGCACCTGGATGGCACAGTGGTAGACCACTGGGCTTGGAGTCAGGAAGACTTCAGATACTTAACTAGCTGTGTGACCCTGGGCAAGTCATTCAACTGCTGATTGCCTCAGTTTTCTCAACTGTAAAGTGGAGATAATAACATCACCTACCTTGAAGGGCTGTTTTAAGGATCAAATGAAATAATATTTGTAAAGGCCACAGCACAGTGCCTAATATGTAGTAGATACTGTATAAATGCTTATTCCCTTGTTCCTTCCCAATGCCCTCCATGACCAATTATTCAGGTAATTTGCTTCATTTCCTGGCCATTTAGAAACCAAGCCATCTACATTCTAGCCATTCTTATCCCCTTTCCACTGGAACCTTGGATTCTATTTCTGTAATCCAACTTTTGGTAGGTAAACTTTAGCTTTATCTTATTTGGGATCAGGCTTCCAAGCAAATTTCCAGCCATTTCTAAATCATTCTGCTTTCACTTCAGCCATCCCTCTTAACCTCCTCATCTCCTTCCCATGGGAAATTTGTCCTCTCCCTCTGGGACTTTAACCTCTGCTAGGTGAGCCTTCTCATGCCTAAAACAGAGCCTCCACATCACCTTCTGGCCATTGTTAAACCAGGTCTGTGCCCCTTCCCCCTTGTGTTGTCTTCTTCCATTGGAACATAAGCTCCTTGAGAACAGGGACTATCTTACTTGCTTGTATTTATATTCCCATCATGTACATAGTATGCTCTTAACAAATGATTTATCATTTGCTCAGCATTCATTCATTCATTCATTCATTCATTCATTCATTCATTTATGTAGGTCCAACCTCTCTATCAATCTCAAGTTAATTTCCATCTGGGAGAGTCTAAACCCTTAGGGTAGTACCATAAATGTGGGTGATTGTATGGGTGTCTGTGGTGAAGGTGGAACTCATCTGGACATTTTGAGCAATGCCTAACAGCCTCATATTTGAATCTCTTCCAAGGGGAGGCCAAACCATGGTGGTACTTTGAGTGTGGGAGAATATATAAGGCATTAGAAAATGGTGGAACTCATTGAAGAGGGAACTTTAGATTAATTATTTATAAGCAACTGTGAGTTGTGTATATTTAGATATCCTTCATTATCTGTGGTGTATCATGTGCCTAATAGCTTATATGGGAGCTAGAGACCCTTTCAGCCATAACTATAGAGACCTAGACATAAGATGTAGTTAAGCTCTATCCTGAAATTACCCTGAGAAAGCTATGGATAGAGGAAAAATGAGTAAAAAGTAGTGTAATTTGGGGGACTGACCCCCAAGGTTGAACCCAATCCATGTAAGTCCAGGATTGGGAGAGAGTGCTAGACCAAGGGTTATATACAATAAGAGAGAATTTTGATAATTAAAGAAAGAAATCTAGGGTGTCTAGGTATGGCACAACATGGCCAGAGGCACATCAGTAGAAATCAGCATAATGTATTTTAGGGAAAAATGAGTAGAACATCCAGATTGTATGGGATTATTAAGGCTTCATTTCTTTCTCTTTTTCTTTCCATTATCAATCAACCAACATGTATTTATGAAGCACTTAATATATATGCTAAGTGGTACAGCAGATACACTGTTAGACCTGGAGTAGGGAAGACCTGAATTCACATCCAGTCTTTGGCATTTTCCAGCTGTATGACCCTATCAGTAAGCCTCTCTATGTTCTTTTCTTATCTGTAAAATCAGTATAAGAGCACCTACCTCCCAACAATGTTGTAAGGATAAAATGAGGCATTTGTAAGCACTTCGCAAACCATAAAACATCATATAAATGCTACATATTATTAGTAGCAGTGGTCACTTTTTCTTCCTATCTCCCTTTCTGCCTCATTTTCTCTCCTTTCTCTCTCTTTCACATGTATGAAAAATCCATGAGTCTTTCCTTAATATCTCATGACTTCAGCTTTCCTGCCAGCTCAATATTTTGTGTTGATAAAGAAAACACAGCATTTTATGACATTTAACAACCAATTTCAGGGGTACTGGTTTAGCCTAGAGTGGTTCCATTAGTGTGAATTACTCCTTAGAAGAAGCAAGGGGTGGGGGTAGGGGGAGGCTTTCAATAGAAGACTTTTCCCCAATGACTGCTTGAAAGATTGACCTGAGTAGCATCCCAGCAGAGCTGGATATAATTTTTAATGGGAGCATGGTGAGCATACTCTCATCTGACCAGGAACCTGGTGATGGAAACTGACCTTTTCTCAAACCTGTGGGGCAAAGGGAAAGGTGCATCCAGAAATAAGGCCAGAAGCTAGACAGGTTGTAGCATTCATTCTTCTAGCCCCAGGGAGGTGGAAGTTAAAGCCTGTGGTTTCTAATGCTGACAACTTGGAAGCCTGCAATAAGGAAAGAGCAGATGGGAGGCAGCAGGTCTCTGTGGCGGGACTTCCAGGCTGCTAGGAGCAGCTTTTGAGAAACGATTCTCAATTCTTCCATTCTGGCTACCTGGGGATGTACTGCTGAATTCCTGATCATAACTAACCTATGAGCTTCAAACAGGAATGTTTTCCCTTTGCAGACAGGGAGGATGAGACAAAAAAGCAAGAAAAAAGACAAGTAAAATGGCAGCAGGTTTTTTGTTTGTTTGTTTGTTTTTGTTTTCATTAGTAAGATATTTCACAAATCCATGTAAAGAAATATTTTATCACTTGGTTTATTCACTGTCTCCCATAGACACCATGATAATTCAAACCTTCTGGCTTTCGTTTCTGCCATTTTCTTCAGTCCTACCCATCCTCCAAAATTTATTAAGTGCTTATTATGCTCAAAGAACTGTGCTAAGTGGTAAGTATACAAACACAAAGACCAAAGCAGTCCCTGCCCTCAAAAAGCTTATATTCTGCTAGAAGTACACAAAAAGAAAAGTCTATATGTGATGTGGGGAAAGTGATTTATTATATTGTTTGAGGAAAAATTATTATATTGTTTGGTGGCAGCTAGGTGGCGCAGTGGATAGAACACAGACCCTGGAGTCAGTAGGACCTGAATTCAAATCCAGCCTCAGACACTTGACACTTACTAGCTGTGTGATCTTGGGCAGCCTCACAAGATACTTGATTGTCTCACAAGAAAAACTATTAAATTGTTTAAATCCAACCTTATGTGATCAAAGGTTGTCTATACTCAGAATGTCACCTGACTCCAGTAACTTTCTAGGAATACTAGAGATGGCTACAAAGTATTTTGAATCCACCCAAATCATTCTTGTTTGAGGTTACCACATCCAAGACCTGTGAAGGTTCCACCCACCCTTGTGTTTTGGGTTCCCTCATATTTTCACTTTCACCAAATTTTATTGAATGTTTACAGTTATTCATATTTATCTCAGTCTACCTTTCAAGTTGCCCTCTCAGCAAAAATGTTTAACTGTGTATGAGTGGTTCAAGTGTAAGTAAGTCCCCTTTTCTAAATCCTATATAATGTAAACTTTCTAGAGCCTGGAGA